TATATCTTTTATAAAAATTATTTTAAAAATATTCATATTTATAATAAAAATTTCAAATATTTCGAAACTAATTTATGTTTTGTCCTTCAAATATAATTTCAACTTCTTCTCTTTCCTCACTTCTTTCCCCTCTTCTTTCCTTCCTTCTTTCACTTCTTCTTTCCTCTCTTCTTTCTCTTCTTCTTTCCACTGGTCGAAAATTGATAAAACATACATATATCGGATACCCGATATGTGCATGGTGTGTCCCTAATATCAAGCATATATTGGGTACTCGATAAGTGTAGAAAATATTTTTTTACACTTACCGGGTACCTGATATATATATAAAATATTTTCTACACTTATCGGGTACCCGATATATTTCCAATATTAGGGACACACCATGCACATATCAGGTACCCGATATGTGTATATTTTATCAATTTTTAACCAGTGATCTGGAATTATATAGGAACATTCTAGTACACTATATAAATAAAACATTCAGATAATATATTAAAAATGTTAATTTTAATATGTTATATAAAAAAAAACATTTGTAAAATGTCCTAGAATGATATATTCTAATAGAACACTCTAAAATATTGTATTTAGTATACTATATGAATATTAGTGCCATTTGTAGAATACTATAAAATGGTATTCGTATAGTGTCATAAAATATTTTTATTTAATTCCTGATATATAATACAGGTAATAATATTATAATCTTTAATTTATAATTATGGAATATCATCTTTACTAATAATAAATAAAAAAAATAATAATAAATATATAATAAAGAGATAAAATATTTGTAAGGAAAATCATATGTAATACTGTTTAAAAAATAATATAAGAATTACCATTTGGTATAGTAATTTTTTTTTATATTTAACTGGTGTAAACTTGTATAAATTCACATAAACTTATATAAACCTGTATAAATTTAATTTGAGAACTTGATTTAATTTTTTTAATTCAATTCAAGATTAAAGTTATATTTTAAAACTTGACTTAGAAATTAATGTTATGTCCTAGATTTGATTTGATTCACTTATTAGAAACACCACCTATATATAGTCCAAATTGCAAATTATTATATTAAAATTAATTTGGCCAATGGTTTGAAAATTGTCTATCTTATAAACCATTTTGGAAAAATAGTTTTTTATAAAAGATGAAATTATTTTTAATAGAACTCAAAATTTATTGAAAGTGGATTTGAATTTTTTTATATATTGAAAAAATATTGGAAATTTTAAAAGACAGTATTTAAAAATAAAAAATCAAATTTAAGACATGTATAGACTTGACCATATTTCTATGCAGTTATAATGAATCTTGATCTTCTTTATTGTATTCTGCTCCATAACTCTTTATTTAATATTTTGGATCCAACATTTGTACTTTAAAAATTTGCAATTTTCAATTGTTAATGTTATTAATTTTTGTTATTACTTTATATTAATTCTTTTATAACATTAATTATGTCAATGTTACTTAATTATGTTTTAATTAAAAAATCTCGACGATCTGGAATTCTTTTCTAGTGAATTCATTCCTACCGAGATCTAGGATATTGAAATTTTTTTAGGAGAATTTATATTTTGAAAACAAAATTAGCTCACCAAATCAAATCACATGATAAGATGGATAAAATGTGCAAGAATATGATTTGCCAAAAAAATATCTTTACACGGATGACTTAAATGAATACAGATTTAATTTAAATTTTCTTTTATACGAAGCCTCCTGCTGCTTAATGCATACAAATCATAATACATTTTCCCTCAACTATTGACATTGACTATAATTGTTTGATAATTTTTGATGAATGTATAATTTTGGTTGATAATCACTTAACAAATATGTAAATATGTATCTGTTATGCAGCCTTGTTTGTGTACTTTTTTTTTTTTGAAATATTCAAGTTTTGGTCAATTTTTTCTTCACGCGAGCCCAAATCTGAAATTGAATAAATTATTTATCATGTGAATTTGAACGCAAAGAATCCGTGACGGGATTTTTATTTTATGTGGTTCGTGAGAGAAAATGTGAAATGTAAAAAAAAACACCAACGTGGAAGATAAACAAAAATCTTATCTGGTCAAACTTTGTTTTTATCAGATTTATTAAAATATTCATTAATGCATGGTTGCGGCATTAATTAAAACATTTTTATAAAGATTGACCGAATCAAACATGCATCCTCTTTAAATCGAATCAAATTTTATGAATTCGGGTTATTTCCCGCAGGTTTTAACAATTTAGATCAGGAAAAGAAAATTTAGATGAATTGGAATTTTTCTTTTATAAAAAATCTCTTTGTATAAGTAAAAAAAAAATAAAATACTGTATACTGAATTAGATAAATAGAAAGAAACCTATGTACATAACGATACAAAATCTTTCTAGATGATTATGATCAATAATGAATGAAATCAGTTGAATAATAATGTATATGAAAATTATATAGTAAAAATAGATTTTAAAAGAATGAAATATGCTTAGAACTCATTAAAAGAAAGAAACCAAGATTTATACAAAAATAATTAAAAAAAATAAATACAAATTCTAGAATACCGAATTCTAATTTTGGGGATATATTTTTAGCATTATACAAAAAAATCTAAACCCTGTTAATAAAATCGAAGAAATGAGAAAAATTGTAATCCAAAGTTTTTTTAAACTTAAAATTTACCATGACTAAATTAAAGAAATTTTGAGTTTATAAAAGTAGAATTGTAGCTGAGTCTACAAACACGCCAGCGTTAAATCACCCAGCAAAGTATTTTTATACAACCACGAATTGTGAATATTAAATAAAAAAAAAGTCAAGAGTGATAATATAGTAAAAAAAAAAAAAATGTAAAAAAGATAAAATGGTAAAAATATTACGAAGAAACTTGACGACAATTACGCATTGTTTGGAAGTGCATTGGAATGTTTGTAGATTTTGATGGAGAGGGTGTATTACCTAAGTTAATGCTAGTATTAAGAGTATTAAGATTTGATGGAATTCCGGATGATATTCCATTATAAAATGGTGGTGTCTCGGGTCTCGAGGAACTATAATTACAGCTTGATTTCCAAGTTGATATTGACGATTTTCTTCTTAGGTTATGTGAACTAACAGAATTTGTGAAAGGAGTATTGGAAGGAGTATCGGAAGGAACATTTGAATTTAGGGGATTTGAAGGAACATTCGAGAGAACATTTGAAGGAGTATTAGGTCGAGAAGAAATATAAGAACTATTTAATGAAGGTAAACTAGTCATTCGAGATGGAGCAGGCATTCTTGTAGTAGAAGAGTTTGAAAATAAATTCGAGGTTATTTGATGATTATTGGAATTAGTAAGAGCAGAAGGGGTAGATGGGCGAGAAGAAATATATACACCAGATATACTAGGAGTTCTTGAACGACCAGGCATTCTCGATTGTGATGTTGGGCTAGGAATTTTAGGAACACTCGGAGAAGTGACGGAAGCAATGTTGGTTTGTGTATTAATACTGGTGGTATTTGATTTAATAGTATTCGTTCGCATAGGTAATTTAGGTAATTGTGACATTGTAGGAATTTTGAGATTGATCGCTTTTGTACAATCAGATTTCATATTTTCAATTAATTTTAATATACGACCATATATAATTTCGGCTTCCTTATCATCAAATGATGTTAGTTCAGATAAAGTATCAGAAATTTCTGAACTAACATCTTGTTCGTCAGAACTTTCACACATATCTTTTTCACTATATTTCTCATCACCACTTTCTGAGGTGAAGTCACTTTTCTCAAAAATATCTTCTCCTTTTTGCGAAATAACAACTTTTCTTTCAACACTTTCCATTTCTGTTATTGTTTTTCTTAATTTATTACATTCTTCATTTGACTCTTTTAAGGAATTCTCTAGTTCAGCCACACGTTTCTCTAGAGCGACTTGTGCCGTCCTTAGTAAAGTATTTTCCAACTCAGCTACACGTTGTTCTAAAGAAGATATTCGTTTTAATTCTTTTTCATCGTTTGGAGGGTGATTATCGATAAGTGTATTAGGAACCATTACTTCTTCAAAAAATATCAAAAATAAAAATAACAAATAAGAGAATCTTTTTTTTTTATATTGGAATAATTGACAAATATTTACAATAAATTTTACAATTTTTGAGTTTAATTAATAAGTTTTTCGCGAGCGACAACGCGGACATTTTTATTCTTTTTATGGATTTTTAAGTATGCAATACAGAAAATGCGATATGATGATGGTAACAGAGAAAAAATTTCCCCTACTTTGGTCTACTTTGGTGTATTGGTGGATTTAGCTCGTCTTTGTTTTTTTTTGTAATACGGACAAGGTCACATGAAATTTAGACCCAAAAAGGAATAGTGGAGCAACTTTTTCCTGTATAAAAAAATAAGATATGCAGGTACTTCATATGTATAAAAGCCACTCTAACCAACTTCATTATATTATTTTATATATATAAATGTAAAAGAGTACGGTAATAAGTAAAGTTAGATATTTAAGATTAATAATTTTTTGAGTTTATATGAGTCGATAGTTGGAAGTTCGTTGATGTTGTCCAAAATGTTATATTTTATTTTTATTTATATTTATTTATATTTATTTCTATTTTATTTATATTTAATACTTATTTAGTACATTTCCCAATTTTTTTTTTTTTTCGTAATTCTTTAATAGTTTTAATAATTTTAAAAGTTTTAATAATTTTTTAATAGTTTTTAATAGTTTTTAATAGTTTTTAATAGTGGAAATATTTTTTTATTTTATTCTTGCGGTAATTTACTGGTAAACCGTAATTAGTAGTAGTAAACATAGTAAACAGAAAAGTAAAACTATAAATGTGGTGCATTATTAATCCATTATTGGTGTTATATTTGGTACAAATTTTCTTTTATCTTATCACACTTAATGTTTACTCTTAACTTTCTTTGGCGTGCCATTGTATATAAATAATACATTTCCTCCTACTGATTTCACAGGTTTTGTATTTATTTATCTGTATTATCTGTATTATCTGGTTGGTTGGTTGTACTTTTAAAGATAATTTAGATAAATCTAAAGAATTTTTATAACAAAATTTATAACCATTTTTTAATCCTTTATAAATTTTAATAATAATAATAATAATAATAATAATAATAATAAATTAAAAAAAGAAATTTAGTAAATTCAAGAATCAAATTATATCAAAATATATTTTGGGGGAAAAGGATTACTCTCCTGAGTTGAAAATGTGTAATAGATTCTGCAGATATAAGTGTTCACATGTGTTCTGTTTGGCTGAATTGCTTTCTATGGCGTAGATTGCTAAAAAATTTAAGGGAAAGATTTACTTCAAATTCTGTCTTACCTATTCTTGTTTCAAAGAAAGAAAAGAATAAAAATAAAAATAAAAATAAAAAATTATACAAAATGCAACGAATTCATGATTCCGAAGAACGTTCTGGACATACTCCCCCTCCTCCATACGCATTGGTTGACAACCTAACTCGTAATAATAATCAGGTAGTTGGTAATAAATAAGATTTATAAAGGTTTTAAAGTGTGCAGTGAATCTTTGAACACGCGATATATATATATATATATAACATTTATCCGCGTTGTCATTATTATTTATCTATTATTATTTTTAATTATTAATTAATTTAATTTTAAATTAAATTAAATTAATTTTAAATTTCAATTTAAATTTAATTTTAAGCACTAATCTCTTATTTCTCTTTTACAATTATAAATATTATGAACTTCAAGGCTCAATCTCAACAATATCATTCACAGAATCCATACCCGGCCGCAGTTATTCCTTCTGAAGCAGATTTTCGTTTAGCTCAAAAACTTCAAGACGAAGAATATGCACAATGGGTAGAAACAAATCAAGATTCAACTCAACCTCAATGTGAATCTTCAAACTCATGTCATAATCCAAGTGCACCACCTTTACCTTCTATACCTGAAAATTATCAATATAATCATCATTTATCTTATCAAAATAATTCAAGTAATTGTCATCATCATCATCATCCTAATCAATCACAATATCCAATAATTTATGCTTCGCCTAACCAACCATCATTACCGTATACTCATGTTACTAACGGAGTTGGTGAAAGTTGTAATAGAGGTGAAAATTATTATGGGAGTTTGAATCAAGGTTATTGAATTTTATAAATTTTATTAATTTCATTTTTTTATATATAAATATATATAAATAAATAAATAAATATATATATATAAATATATATAAATTTATATATATTTATATATATTTAAATATATAAATATAATATATAATATATATATATAATATGATATAATATATAATAGATATATAATCATATAAATATAACATAATATTTAATTCAAATAAATAAATTTATAGGTTATTATAATTCAACCAATGCTCATCCTCATCATCCTCACCCTCATCATCATCAACCATTTTATAATGCATCTTATCAAAATTATCAACAAGTTCCACATCAACATCAACACATTCCATATCGATCTATTGAAGGGGAAGAAGATAATTCATTTAGTTGTCTAGCTGGATTGTATGAACCTTTTATTTCTTTTGTTATAATTTTGGTGGTGATCAGTTTTGCTTCAATGTATTTTTAAATGAAATTTTCTTGATGAAAATTTTACAGAATAAAATAAAGATTAATTAATTAATTAATTAATTAGATTCTAATGAATTTTTTTTTTTTTTTTATTTTGTCAATCTCATTTTCTTTAATAGTGGTCTTGCTTCTCTCTTGTGCTATTGCTGTTCATTTTTCGATGATTAAATAATGAATTTTATAAAAAGGTACGTGGTCCAGGAGACATCGTAACCTTTTCTTATTTAATCAATTTTCTTTATTTAATCAAAGATGAAGAATATTATTAGTAGATTTATTGAATCTATTTTTTTTTTTTTTCGACAATAGTCAGAAACTTTGTTTTAATTTTTTAAAAATTATATATATTTATATATATTTTTTATATATTTTTATATATTTCATATGGTGTACATATATTTTCTGAAAATTCTAATTTTTATAGACATTCTCGAAGACATTTATGTAATTTTATTAAATTTTTTTCATATCATTTGGTATGATCAAAAAAGATATCATTTGTAAACTATGGCCCTTTACATGTTAATTATCTTAAGTTTTTTTTTTTTTTTTTTTTTTGTTTCATTGATAACTGATTTATTTTCGTTTCAATAATAAAATCGAGAAGTTATCACAAATTGCGTGAGATCTATTGAATTGTGACTGTTGCCGCTGTCACATAATCGGTCATTGATCAGAATTTATTTGGATTGGTGAATGATATCTTATTTTAATCTATTTTGATCTATTTTGATCTATTTAATGCATAAAATTACAAATATTTTAAAATATTTAAAATATTTAGATATTTTTTGGCACCCGATCGGAGTACAAATAATTTACTCACAGACATAGCTGCGCGTCGGTGCATTATTATTTACAAAGCCGTTGGAAAATCTTTTTTTTACAGAAATTATATACCTTTTTTAGGAACTACAAATGATGTAAATGATAACCAATAATACTCTTTTTTTATACATTTGCATTTATTAATTAATTCAATATTAAATGTAATCAATAAGAAAATAGATTTTTATTAACATGATAAAGGAAAAAATAGACTTTTAAATAGACTTTAAACCTTTAAAACAGGAAAGGTGATTTAATTATCGTTGTGAATCTTGAAATGATCGATACTAGAAATAGAAACACTTTTATTGCTCTGTATTAAAAAATAAGATACATGTGACAAAGATCCTTACATTATGTGACTATCATTATAACATTCATTTAATGTTACTCAATCTGATTTCCAAATTGCGATAAAAATTGGATAAATTTCTAGTTGTAATAAAATTGCGATGCGTTAAATTTCCAGATGGTTTATATCAACGATTGGAATGAATATCAACAAGCTGTTGAACAACTTTATTTGAATTCGCCTAAAGAAGTAGGGGGGTTTTTTTTTTTTTTTAAAAAAAAAAAATTTATAAATTTATTTGAACAATCAATCTTTATTTTATCCTCTTGACACAAAAAATAGACACGATATGTAACTAGCTGGCTTCATTCACAAGGGCAATTGGTCCTAAAAGTTACCGACAATTTTCGAGTTCTCAAATATAAGACGGACCAGGCTGCAGATTTGAAAAAATTTGAACGATTAAATAAATCGATGATACTGAAAATGCAGAATCGGAAGGAACCAAGCGAAAGTGAAGGTAATTTTTTATTTAGACTTCAAAAAATTAAAAAATTATAAAATAAAATCTAATCTGTAATAAACTTCTTCTTTTTGTAAAATAACAGTTGCTCCATCAACAACAACAACATTGCAAACCCAAGTGTTGGAAAATATTACAAGTACACCTGAAATTATTTCACATCCTCAACCAATCTCAAAGAAAAAAGGGAAAAAAGGACGATGAAATAATCTAAATAATCTTTAAATTATTTTCCTTGGAAACATTTTAATCGTGCTTAATCATTTTATACTTGTTATAAATTTATTAAAAGGTTTGTGAAAGAAATATTATATATTTATATTATATATTAATATTATATATTTATATTATATATTAATATTATATATTTATATTATATATTTATATTATTTAGATATAGATATATAATATTCTAAATATTTTTGATGGCAATGAATTTATTGAAAGTTAATTCATTTATCTTTTCTTTTTTTTTTTAAAAAAAAAAAATAAATAATAATAGACATTTTTAAGTGTGAATAATAATTTGAAAAATAAAAGTTGACATGATTTTGAGATTATTTTATATATAAAAATCGAGAACTATCTCGAATATTTACACATTTTATTAAAAATTATTATTATTTTTATTGCACATCTCCATAGAAAAAAGATAGAAAAAAGGTAGAAAAAAAAAAGATAGGAAAAAGTAGAGATCTCACCAAAATACTCAATTTATCAAGTCAATTATTGAATGTTCTATTATTTCTAACTATTGAGTATTTCTATCAAAAGTTTTTATTCAAGGAATTTTCAATTCATTTAATTCATTCACGTTTGGGTCTTGACAAAGGATCATGAATTTTCCAAAAGCCAAAGAAATAGTTTAATCGAATAATCAATAAATCCATAGCCATTTGAATGGAATCTTTTATCAATGATACTTTGGATCCATCTATCTCATGCCATGTAACTGGAACTTCAACAATTGGCATCTTTAGAAATTGTGCAATTAGAAGCATTTCGATATCAAATATCCAACCTTCTACATGCATATTACTAAATATATATAAACCTGATTTACGTGTGAAAAGTTTAAAGCCACATTGTGTATCTGCTATATCTCTAATTCCAAATATAAACAATACTTTATGAAAAGAATGCATAAGGAAATTGCGAATAAATGATCTCTAAGTATTAAAAAAAATGAAAAAAGAAAATCAATTTAATACATATATATTTATTTATATAAATTTTATATTTCACAAGAGGATATAAATAAGTAACCTTCACGACTGCCTCGGTTTTTACTAAATGAGCTCGTGATCCAACAGCTACTCCAAAACCATCTTTATCGACGATCCTTTTCAATTCTCTTTCCAAAAATTCAAAATCTGAAAATTGTGTAGCTCCATCTGCATCTGCAAAAAGAATATGTTTACCACTAGATGATAAAATACCCTTTAAATATTTTCACGATAAATATTTGCACAATAAAATATTTTCACGATAAAATATTTGCACGATAAAATATTTGCACGATAAAATATTTGCACAATAAAATATTTGCACGATAAAATATTTGCACAATAAATATTAGTAAAAAAAAAAACAAAAACAATATCAACGTTAACTCCTTGTTGACTAACCTGTGCAACAGCTCCACCTTTTTTTCGATTTTTTTCCAATTTTAAAACTTTTAAATCTACATTTTTATTTTTATTCCCAAATTCAAGTACGATCATAGTTGTGTTATCGGTACTTCCATCGTCTACTACTATAATTTCATATTGAAAGTTTTTATCTTCAAGTTTACGACCTTCTAAATAACTAACGGTTTCTTGAAGCATAAGGGGTATTCTCATCGTTTCATTGTGTGCAGGAACTACAACTGTCAAATATAAAACCGATTCATCGAAAATGCTAGGTAAAGGTTGTGGTTTATTAGTCTTTGATGCCAAATAATATTTTTCTGACTCAGTTCTTTTTCGAGATTTTGGTGAAAATACTATCAAGAATGCAAAAAACTAGATTAATAGAGAAAAAAAAAGTATTTTAATATTTTAGTATTATAAAATAATAGACCATCTCGACGATAATTAATGAATAACACAGATAATTTACTACGCTTATTCCAAAAATCGTAAATAATCCAATAAATGTTAACAGTTCCATTTTGCAAAAAAAAAAGGTTGAAAACGTTCTTTTCCACAGTATTTATATTATTATTCCAGTATTTATATTATTTATATTATTATTATTATTATTATTTTTGCATTGTATTCATTATATTAATGAAGATCATTTTCATTTTTCCAAAATAAGTCAAATTTAACTGTTAATTTTTATTTGTTGATAAAAAAAAAAAGATTTTTTACTCATGGATTTAAGAACTATTGGAGTTTTGGGAGGTGGACAATTAGGTAGAATGCTTGTTGAAGCAGCATCCCGATTAAATATAAACGTAATTATTCTTGACAAACCTTCTGATTCACCTGCAAAACAAATTCAAGCAACAAAATCTCATGTTCAAGGAGACTTTAAAGATCCTAATAAAATTAAAGAACTCGCTCAAAAAGTAGATATATTAACTATAGAAATTGAACACGTTAATGTTGATATATTGGAAACCTTGTCAAAAGAAAAAAAAGAGAAGATTGTTATTTGTCCTTCCCCCACTACAATTCGTCTTATTCAAGATAAATATGTTCAAAAATTACATTTATTTAACAATAACATTCCTGTTGTGGATTTCATAGAAATAAATGCAAAAGATGATTTGAATTTGGTATCAGAGAAATTCGGATACCCAATGATGCTCAAATCTAAAACACTTGCATATGATGGTCGAGGAAATTATGTTTTACATTCATCTGAAGAAATCGAAAAAGCATTAAAATTTTTAGGAAATTTTAAAACTCCATTATATGCGGAAAGGTGGATATCATTTATAAAAGAATTGGCTGTCATGGTTGTTAGAAGAATGAATGGAGAAGTTAAAAGTTATCCAGTTGTAGAAACCATACATAAAGAAAATATATGTCATATGGTAATAGCACCTGCTCAAGTTAATGGATTAATCTTAGAAAATGCAAAAATTATTGCAGAGAAATCAATATCTACTTTAAGTGGTGCAGGTGTATTTGGAGTAGAAATGTTTTTAATGAGTGATGGTTAGTTTTTTATATATTATAATTTTAATAATAATAATAATAATAATAATATAAATAATTCTCATATTATTTATTAACGGATATTTCTTTTAAATAGGACATATATATGTAAATGAAATTGCACCTCGTCCTCATAATTCTGGTCATTATACAATTGAGGCATGTGAAACTTCGCAATACGAAAATCATCTTCGTAGTATCTTAAATATTCCATTAGGAAGTACTATGCTCAAAGTACAAGCCACGGCAATGATAAATATTCTCGGAAAATCAGAAGATTTTCAAGAATGTTTAAAACCTTGTGCAGAATCACTTTCTATTCCAGGAACCACTATACATTTATATGGTAAAAAGGAATGTAGAAAAGGACGTAAAATGGGACACATTACTGTAGTGGCAGATTCAATTTCACAATTATTTAAAAGAATTAATCCTATTTTAAGAATAATTGATGAAAATGATTCATCAATTCCATATTCAACAATTCAACCACTTGTTGGAATAATAATGGGATCAGATTCTGATTTACCTACAATGAAAGCATGTGCAGAAATATTAAAATCTTTTGAGATACCTTTTGAATTAACAATTGTATCTGCACATAGAACACCACATAGAATGGTAGAATATGCAAAAAATGCTCATAAAAGAGGAATGAAAGTAATAATTGCAGGTGCAGGAGGGGCTGCACATTTACCAGGTATGGTGGCTGCATTGACACCTTTACCTGTAATTGGTGTACCAGTAAAAGGAAAAACTTTAGATGGATTGGATTCTTTATACAGTATTGTTCAGATGCCGGTAAGAAATGGAATTAATTTTATAATTCTATATTTATTTATTTTTATTTATTTATTTATTTTTTATTTTATTTATTTTTATTTATTTATTTATTTTTATTTATTTATTTTTATTTCTTTTTTATTTATTTTTTCAATAAATTTAACTTTACATGTTATAACTATTCTATTAAGCGTGGTATACCTGTTGCAACTGTGGCAATTAATAATTCAACAAATGCGGGATTATTAGCAGTACGTCAATTGGGAGCATTTATTCCAAGTTATTTAGAGAAGATGCAAATTTTTATGGATAATCAAGAAAATGAAGTACTTGCAAAAGTGGATAAATTAGATAGTGTTGGTTGGGAAAATTATTGAAAATCTTTTAATTAAAATGAATAATTTTAAATTCTTTGAGGAATAAACTTTCTCTTCTATTGATTTAAATACAAGTATACTTGATTGAAATGTTTTCTTTTCATAGATAAAAACATATAATATCCAAGTGATAAAGAATATGATAGAATGTGATCGGTAATACTTTTTAACGAGATCACAAATTTCTCTCCACAGAACCTTGACAAATCTTTAACCATTGATGCATGATTTGCAAGAATAGAAGTTTAATTAATGACTACGTAATAAGATATCTTTCTCAAAAGTAAATTTAAATGTAAATAAATTTCTATTGTATTTAAATTTGTACTTATTGTTTTCATAAATAGATAAATCATTTTTTTTTTTCATGTGAATAAATCAACTGACTATCGTAGTGCTTACTTGAATGGGACAACATAATAACTAAAAAAATATTCCGTATAAGGTTATATTAGTAATTAAAAATATTAATGACGTAATTATCATAATTATAAAGATATATAATTCATCAGTTCGAATAATTCTATTTTATTTTTTTCCTAATAAGAAAAAGTTTTCGCAATGCCTGAAAGTACGTGAATCCGTACTTATTTTTTTATAATTTTAAAACAATTTCAATTAATTTTAATTTCAATTCAATTTTAATTTTAGTTAAAAAGATTATGAGATTTAAGAATGATACCCCAATTTCAGAGTTAGAAAAGGTTGCAACGGAAATTGAAAATGCCGGTAATTTATTTATTTAATAAAAAAATTTTTTTTTGAATTAAATTCAAATTTTTCTAGATAATTTTATTTAGGTGGTAAAATTACGGGTAAAACAACAATAACTGGGAAAGTACTCATGTATACAATTAATTCAGACACTATAAGTACGTGTATAATTTGTTTGTTTGTTTATATTTTTATTGATAAATTTTCCCACGGTAACGAATAAATATGTACATATATAAAAATATAGCTACCTTCGCTAATAATGACCATATTGAAGAAGTCGAAGATGATGGAATAGTTACAATTCAAAAATGAAAAACGTTAAAATATATGAAACCACTATGCTTGATCACATTTTCTGAAATTTCTTTATTTGTTTCAATTTTACAATTTTTGATTAAGAAGTCAATCAATTATTTGAACTTTCATTGTTCTCCTAAAAAGCAAAGATAAATAATTAAATTTACATTGATTATTGTTTAACATTGTAAAACTTTATCAGTTCCTTTTAAAGTATATGTGTCTTTCTATATGTTTTTTATTGTGAATAGTAAAGAATTTTTAGTTTGAAAGTATAAATAGCGATAGAATTTAAATTGCCACTTCACTAAATTGAAAACTGAAAGAATGGTACTTAACAGGTAATGAAGTGAGATGGAAAAATGCTCCTACAAAGATGTCAAGTAATTTTGGAGAAATGCATTAATAAAAATTTTTATCAAGATTTAATTACTGCAGAAGTTATTATTTCATGACTTTTTAATTATCAAATTTTAGTCAAATATAAATTTTATTTTTTTAAACAAAATGTTCTTTAAAATTATAGTTATTAAATTCTTTTTCTCATTTTTTTTACATTATCCAAATTAATCACTGTAATCAATTAAATTCTTCATTTGGTAAATTAGATTTTCATTAATTTTTTTTTTTAATTTTAGTTAACTTTTAAGTATTGTGATATAAAGGCTCTCTCAGGATTAAGGTTATGAAATCTTCAAGATTTTTGTCTACTTTTCATATACAGTGGACCCCTCTACAAACACACCCCCTCGGGACCATAGAACCAAAAATAAAATGTGTGATTATAACCATATAGAGGGATTTTTATATAGTATTACTAAGTATTGGTCCTTATGAAAGGGTGTTTATAAGTGGGGATTTATATGATGTGATTGTACAAGGGGTGATTATAGAGGGATCTACTGTAGAAAGAATTAATTCATCCATAGAGGAAATTTTTAATTTTAACTTTCTATAGCTCTCACAATACACCTTCTAAGTAAAAAAAGAATATAATAAAATGAATGGTTTCAAGGGAGGAATCATAATGTTAGATTATTTATTGGTTTAATTGGATAAATGATTCTCTGAAATTAATAAATAAACTTTTGATAAAATTATTTTTGAATACATCATAAAATCACTAATTATAGGGAATGATGATAGTTTTCTTCTGATTCTTTAATTAAAAAGATAAAGGTTGGAAAGAAAAACTAATAAAAAAAAAGTATACTAGAATTATTATTTTAATAATAAAATTTTTTAATATTTATTTAATCGATTAAAAATTTATACGGATTCATGATGCCATTAGGATCTAATTCTTTTTTCATTTTTTTCATAATATTAATCATTGACGAGGATTTTGAATATCGCAGATATTTCGCTTTCATTAAACCAAGACCATGTTCTGTTTAAATATATTTAAATAATAAAATAATATAAAATAATATTAATAATTAAGTAAAATAAAATATAATATAATTTGAAATAATTACCTGCGGATATAGATCCATTATGTTTCTCTGTCCATTCATAAATCCAAGGCTCTATCAAAGCGGTGATTTCGGGAGTGTAATCAAAGGCGGAAATATTCACATGTAAATTGCCTAAAAAAAAAAAAATTAATTAATAACTAAAAAAAGAATAATCATAAAGAAATAATCAATAGAAAATATAGAAAATGAAATTCAACTAACCATCTCCAATGTGACCAAACCCAATTACATGATTTATAGGTAAATCTTTACCATATATACCAGCATCCATTAATTTAAGTCTTAAATCCTCCACTAACTTATACATATATTCTAGTGGCATGGATACATCATATTTATACACTGCTCCAGATTTACTACAAGCTTCAGGTATTCCTTCACGTATTGCCCATATCACTTTAGCTTGTGTTTCATCTTGAGCCACAACACCATCTTCCACAGTTTGCTTTTCTAATATATCTTCCAAGAAATTAGATAATTTCTAATAAATGATAAACAAAAATATCTTTTATATTTGTTTAAGAAAATTGATTGAAATAATATGAAATAATAACAATCAAATGATAATTGAGAGTGTACCTCATCATTGTGAACTTTATTTGACCCACTAACTTCAATTAATATATAAAATGGATAATTGGTATTTAAAGGAAACTTTGATCCTTGAACTATATGAGCTTGGATCAATTCAACAGAATTAGCATCCCAAAATTCGAAAGCTACAATTTAATTAATTATTGATTAATTTAATTAATTTAAGTGCATTCATAAAGGAATAGCAAAAATGAAATTAATTTTAAAAAACAATGAATTTTGTGATTTATTTACCAGAAAGGATTTCTGTTAAATCATCTTTAGCTCTAATAAATGTTTCTTGAACCTTTTCGAAAGAATTTAATCCAAGTAATACAACGTTCACTGCCTATCGAATTATTATAGTATATTATAGTATCAATATTTATTTTAAATCCAAAATGCACAATCACAACTTTATTTTCAAAATATACTTTTGGTTTTCGTGGAGTTTGAATTGAAACGCCAGTAATTATCCCTAAAGTACCTTCTGAACCAATGAAAAGTTGCTTTATATCGTAACCTGAAATCAAAATAAAAAATTAATATTGTAAAATTAATGAGGGAGAACTTCATTTATCATAATTTATCATACCAGTATTATCTTTTCGAAGAGTTACAAGATTGTCTAAAACTGTCCCATCAGGAAGAACCTACGTATTTACAAATTAATAAAACTAATTTAATATAAAAATAAATAAATAATATAAAAATAAATAATATAATATAAAAATAAATAAATAATATAAAAATAAATAATATGAATAAATACCACTTCTAATCCCAATACAGATCCGTGAAGAGAACCGTATCGTAATAATCTTAATCCACCTGCATTGGTAGCAACATTTCCACCTATTTGACAACTAATAAAAATAACTTTATAGTATGAATATATTAAATATATTAAAATGTAAATGCTTCATATAATTTAAGTAAATATTTTTTTTTAATATCATTTAATTTATTCTTACCTTCCTTTAGCTCCCAAATCTAAAGGCATCATAAATCCTTTTTCGGCAAGATAGTTATCAAGATTTTCAAGAATACAACCACCATCGCATACAAGTGATCCTTTTTTATGCAAAATTTATGCAATAAGAGATAAATTGTAAATTTCAATAAAAAAAAATCTATATTTATATATTCCTACCAGATAAATGATCAAAAGATCTAATTTTATTCAAATTATTAATACTAATTACAATTTCGTCAAACACCGGCACGCCACCACCTAATAAAAAATGAATTGTTCAGATAAAAAAAAAAGACCGTTAAAGGAAAAGAAAATTTCTTCCAACTTACCAACAAGACCAGTATTTCCCCCTTGAGGTACAACAGCCAATCTCCTATCGTTACAGTATTTAAGTATTTCCGAAATTTGTTTGGTTGTTCTTGGTTTAGCAATCAATTTTGACTTTCCTCGATATTTTCTCATCCAATCAATGTTATATGGCAATAAATCATCTTCATTACCTACTATTATACTATTAGAAGGTAAAATTGATTGAAAGAATGTAATGTCTTCTTGTGTAAGCTGAATTAAAGAAGCATAAGAATATTAATAAAATTTTCGTTACAATTTAATATAAATAAAGAAATTAAAAATTTACTTCACTGAAATTCGGATTTCTTTTTAAATCAAGATATTTATCAGTAGTAAAGCTAACTTCTGCATTTTTGTGAGTGTAAACGCTAGTCGCTTTCGGATCCTGGCCAAAAGTTGAATAAGAATTATGTTTTCTTTCTAAACCAAAACCGACATTTCTAACGTGATTCGTTAAAATGTTTATAAATAAGGCTTTTCTACTCAAAAATGGCAAGCTTTGGATGTTTCTCAACACGAAATTTCTCATTATGAGTTTCTTCATAACAGCCAGCGGATATGTCCTACTGATCGACGAGCAAATTTTTTTATATAGTAAAATGTTCACGTGATTTATCGATTTCATTATTAGGTTCTAGCATAGCAGAAATTCGGGTATACAGATAAACTGTATGGTACGAAACGCTATTTTGTACTGTACGAATAGTGACTTGTACGATTTATTTGTGGCTT